CCTCCTCCTCCTCCTCCTCCTCCTCCTCCTCCTCCTCTTCCTCTTCCTCTTCCTCTTCCTCTTCTTCTTCTTCCTCCTCCTCCCTCCTCCTTCTCCTCCTCCTAACCCCACTCCCTTCTAGCACTGATGATGTTACCTAGTTGGGCAATGAAACATCTGCAAGAAAACAACCAAGCTCAGAGAGCACCAAGGACCCCTTCCCATTTCAGTCCTGAGCTACAAACATTCTCCTTTAATCTGCCTTAATCGTTCAGATTCTTGTAGGGATCAAGAGCATGCAATATATTTGTATTCCTTTGGACCACCCATTTCCTGTGCTCGGCAGGTAGTAAAAGACCCACCGGCAATCGCTCAACGGGACTCACCGATTGAAGGTCTTCTTCTGTGCACTTAATCTGACAGACGCTGTCGAACTGGAACCCGTTGGTGCAATGGTACAGCCCGTGAAACTTGGCAGGGGGTGGGTCACAGGTCACAGGGATGCAGGATCCTTCCAGCCATGTCCCGTCTTGGGCACACTGGATCTTAAATGTCCTCCTTCCATAGAGGCAAAGACAAAGGGAGAGAGAGAGAGAGAGAGAGGGAGGGAGGGAGGAAGAGAGGGAGGGAGGGAAAAGGGGGGAGGAAAAGGGAGGGAGGGAGAGAGGGATGGAGAGAGGGGGAGGGAGAGGGAGGGAGGGAAAGGAAGGGAGAGAGGGAGGGAGAGAAGAAAAGAGAGAGAGAGGGAGAGAGAAGGATAGAGAGGGAAGGAGGGAGAGAGAGATGCATGAATGAGAGGAGGGTGGAAAAATCAAATAATCCCAGTTTCTCCACGCTCTCTTTGCAATAGCCATTGGTGCCCCCAATAATTAGAAAGACTCTAGAAAGAATGCAGAGAAAAGCAACAAAGATGATAAAAAGACAGCAGGCTAAAACATACAAAGAACGGTGGCAGAAAATGAACGCATCTAATTTAATGAAAAGGGGGTGACGTGATAGCGAAACGGCCAGCGAAACGGCCTTCAGAAGTTGTGGTTGCCCCAACACTGGAGGTTTTTAAGAAGAGACTGCAGAACCACGTGTCTGAAATGGTGTAGGGTTTCCTGCCTAAGCAGGGGGTTGGACTAGAAGACCTCCAAGGTCCCTTCCAACTCTGCTATTTGGTTAAAGATCAAGATCACCAACCCTTTCCCTTCTTTGGGGCAGTGGGGGGCGGGGGGGGGACTTGCTGTTTATTTGTGAGCCACATGGGAAGCTATCCATGTTTGGAGAAGGAGATACACAAACACACTCAGGCCAAATGGACCCCCTTTTTGAGGAAGGGATGCGGAGCGGGGGGGAAAGCTACATTCAACCAGAATCTTCAAAGGCTTTGTGGCCAAGAAAGGGCTTGGAGATCCTGGTGTGTGTGTGTATGTGTGTGTGTGTGTGTGTGTGTTTAATGGGGCGGGTGTGCGGTTCCTCCCCCATCCCTTTCCTCCCCCCCTCCCCCCCTCCCCCCCCAAGTCGTAAAAAGAAAAAGAAAAGAAAAGCAGGATAGTGAGAAAGTTTTCCCACCGAGGTTCAAAGGGGGCTCCCCAGGTTGCGATACCAATGGGGCATTTGCCAGAAGGAGGCAGGTGGCCCCCCAAGGCTGACTTGTGAACGAAAAGACATAGAAACGCAGAAGGGGAGTGAACCCTAACTGCCTCTTTCTTCCTCTTTTAAATAAGAAGCAGGTCCCAAATGGTCTCCTCCCCAAAGCGACCCATTAAAGCCCCTCTACGAAGGAAGGAAGGAAGGAAGGAAGGAAGGAGGAAGGAAGGAAGGAAGGAAGGAAGGAAGGAAGGAAGGAAGGAAGGAAGGAAGGAAGGAAGGAGAGAAAGAAAGAAAGAAAGAAAGAAAGAAAGAAAGAAAGAAAGAAAGA